GGGGGGAGCATGACAGACAAGGTCTTATCTGATAACTCATATCAGCCATCTTTGCAGTAACAATTAACAGAAAAATAATGAACAATAAAATATAGAGAGGGACGAGGGAAAGCTTGACGAGCAGCAAGAAAAGTTCAAATACATTATGACTATCTCAATTCGTTAAGACAACAAAATACCATGAAGCTGCCATACCATTACAGTAGTCCTGAAGGTTTGCAACTGCAACTTCCAAACCCCTGCTGGCAGTTGCATTTCCTACAATTGACGGTACAGAAATCCCCTGTCGTCCAATATCTTCCTCAGCAAATGACCCTAGAGACGAATAACATGTAACAAGCACAGAAAGTTTAAATAATATTACGGAACCTTGATATTGATTTCGCTAATAAGAGGATTTAAAAGGCATTAAACGCCCAAAATAATAAAACAAAAAAGGTTTCACAAATTACCGAATAGATAAAAGTGAATAGTTTGTTTTCTTCTGTTTTTGAGTAAATAGAGTTTGGCAATACAAAGTACATGAAAACAGAAACTTGATTTTTGAGGGGATGACCCTTCTATCCGTACGTAACTCATATATCGAAGGCAACATCTATCTATAAAAGAAATGAAATATAAAACTGTAAAAGAAAACCATGACTTTTATGTTGGCCAAAATCAAAAGTTCTTAAAGAGATTAGTTTTACATCTACAGAGGAAAGCAGAATGAAGAAAACACGTGGTTTCCACAAGAACTAGCAGAAAGACAGCAATCGAAAGAGTGTTATAGCATTATTCGTGGATAGAACTAAATATGGTTTAACTATGAACCCCGACATTAATGATGATGACTTACGCAATTTTTGTGCAATTGAGGCCGCTTCTGCAACACGACTATCATCAGAGAATAATGGGGAAAGCTCCATTAAGTCACCAGGGCTGCCATTGAATTCCATCAAGTACTGCAGTGATTGATTATAAGGATATTTTTCATTTCTTTATAGTTAACTTTAAAATAAAAGGAAAATATATTAACATTGGTGGCAGTGGCACAAATTCAATCAATGAACTTTTAGTACCTTTATCAACTCTATTGTTTGACTAGCAGTTTCCCTTTGGGCATCTGCACTCTGACAAGAGAAAACGAAGGAAATGAAAAACCTTAGTCCAGTTTCACACTAATGGGACAATTATGATTTCGTGAATCAATGATTCAATATAATTTAAATGTCATTGAGGACATAAAAGAATTACTTGCAGATGATCTCCAATTTTCGCAGCAGTCTGTCCAACACTTGAAATGCGTGAATCTAACCTTGCAAAACTGGTGAACAGGCCATCTACGCCTTTTTCCAACTGTCAATAAATGTATGTTCCATAGGTTAAACAATGAGATGTATCGGTTTCGACTTTCAAAAATAGAGATTTACAAGCTTCCTCGACTAACAAAAGCAGAAAATCATTATTAGAGGAAAGAACGTAACAATTTAGCATCAGTTTGATCAACAATTCATGACTAATGGATCTTCATAGGTTCTATGAAACCTTAACTGTTTAATCAATTAATTAATGAATTTATAATAATAATTCCACCAAAGGATTCCCTTACAGCCCCTGAGGAAATAAAAATAAAAGTAGAAATTGAAGAACAATATAATATAGGCATGACAAATACTCAAACTTTAGATGGTTGTGCATTCAGAATGTCTACCCTCACCCATAAGGCTATAGTCAACAAACCTCAGCAAGTGTCTTGCGATGCTTGAAATCTTGGGCAGCAACATCTTTCTTGAGATTGTAAAGTTTACCATCGATCTTTAACCAGAATGAAGATGGAAAGTTAAAGCCTTCATATAGCGGTATGATGTTTTGGCAGAACTCTTAAGGCCTTCAGTCAAATCACATACCTGTTTTCGAAGATCAACCAACTCTTGGCTGGAATCCTTGAACAACGCTAAGAGTTTGTCGACTTCTGGAAACAGAGGAGTAGCCAGCGCTTGGGAGAACTTAATGGTATCTGATTGTCCCCGAAAATGCCCATTAGGGAAAACATCATTGCTAATGTTGTGTCCGTCTACTGAATCAGTTTCTTCCTCTTGAAATGACGGAAGGAGCTCATTCACCAAATTTCCAAACAATGCATCGAAAGAAAAATCGCCCTACAAAACCAAAATAACTAAGCTCCTTCCGAATTCATATGCAGATTCATATGCTGGCTATCTCAAGTGGTATATTAATTGATTCGGTAACTTCCAAAGAGAGCGTAGTTAAAATAATAAATTGAGAACATGGTCTTTACCTTAAAATCATCAACATCCAAAATGAGGGGAAGTGAGCTAACAGATGGATTATTTGCATGCATATTTTTCTTGGCCCCATCTCTAGTCTCTCTCATCTAGTTTGCATAGAATAAATCAGAGAAAAAACGTAACGGTACGATTCTATCAATATGCCATTCAATCTTAACTGATACTAGCTGCATATAATTTGAATTTCCATCAAATGAAAACAAACTATTGTAAAATCTAATAAGAAGCTAACCTTTTAACAAATAGGGAGAAAGTATACAGATCCAGCTCCTTTCAAGCGTTACTCAAACTTGTAAAAGAAGACAAGTTAGCCATGAGGAATATAGTGGATTCACTAAAACCAAGTGTTGAGTACACTAATTGTGTCAACCATGAACATGGTTTTCATTTTTGGAATAGAAAACAAAGAATCAGAGGAACAATCAAGATATAGAATAGCTCAAACTCAAACACAGATCCAAAATGAAGAACTCTCCCGTTTAAACAAAAACAACATACTAAAAAGCCGTGAAGTTTTAGAAATTAATTTAAACAAACAAAAACTCAATCCAGAGAAACATGTGTAGCATTGTGGTAAATAAAGCTATTACGCACGCAGCAGAAGAAACCCATCAATTGCATCAACTCGAACTAGTTCACAATTTTATTAAAAACCAGCGAAGATCTCTGCATTTTCTGAAATGGGATTCTCTCTTTGAGATCAATCATTCAAATTTGTGCTCGTATTTCCGAGCCCAAGTGGTGATCCAACAAATTCATCGCCAGACCAACAAGCCAATTTCACACGAGTTAACCAAAATTCAGGATATAAAATCGTAAGTATCAAATTCGGATGTGGCTAATAACTTGCTATTGCAAGCAAACGCAAGATTTCCATTGATCAAAATGCTACAGAGCATCATCTTACAAATTGGCTACGACCCAACATCAAAACTGTATCGCTCATGATCTAAAGTAACTTTACTATGCAAAAAAATATAAAAATACATAGCTACTTTTAGCAATCAAACCAACCTGTTATTGGGCTAGGATCCAAAGCAAAGTAAAATTAAGAATGAAAATTTTGCTGATAATAAAGTAGAGCAGAATTTACCCGCCGAATTGATCTAATCTAAGCAAGAGAAGGTAGGGGCTGGAGATTCAAAGACGGGGAGTCATTGCGCAGTGATCAAATACAAAATTGGAAGGCATACCTGTGAATGGAGACTGTGAAGGAGGGAGAAGTTGCTTGGTCGTTGAATGATTTCTGATTTGGTTTTGGTTTGGGTTTGGTTTGAGAGAATAATCAGCCTACTATAATTTCCAACGAAAACTGCAATGTAAAAACCAAACCATGCGAAATGACCATTCTACCCTTTTTCCCTCCATTAAAAAACTCCTCCTCATTTAGTATATCTTATTAAATCATTTATTTATTAAACTTTCAAATCCAAAATAATTTTTTTTTTTTAAAAAAAGGAGGATATATCAAACTCAATAAAATACATAGACAACACCGTTGCAGCATCAACTACGACGACCACTAACGAGATGGAGATAGCAAAAGAGAGAGTGAAGGGATGACAATAACCGTACGCATAAATGAAATAGAGAGGAGGCCGGCTGGATGTTCAATAAAAAATTTGAGCTACATCAACTTGCATGTGAATAAATGTGGCTTGAGGCTTCGATATAAATTATTAATAAATTTCTATTTATTTATTTGTAATAATTCTATATATAATGGAAATGAAATAAGTATAATTTTTTTTTAAATTATAATGGAATATGTTAACTAAAAAATTTGTGCTCAAATTTATTTTTAAATTTCACCCCCTAAATTTAGATTTTTTTTTTAACATTCCTAAATAAATGGGTCTAAATTTATTTTTTGAAAAATATAAACATTAAAAAAAAAAACACAAGGAAAAATAAAGGCAGAGGTTGTTAGAATACAATATTGACACATTTATATATATAATTTTCATAGGATTTTTGAATTAAATGACTTATTTAATTTTGTCCTATTTTAGTTTTCTATTAATAAATTATAATTAAAATCCATTGCTTTATTTTCTTTTTTTCAAATCTTTTGCATTTAAAACGAGACAATTTCTTAAAAAATTATTTATGGGACTTTCTTCGTTCCAAAGGAGGTAAATATCTAATATTAGCCGAAAACTTTAAAGGAAAATGGGCCGTGGATGTTATTGGGCCGGGTTTAGGCCCATTACCAAATGTAAGACAATGCACGTATAAAGCCGTGTAGGGAAGTTCTAACCGTTGGAGCGACGTGTGTCACGCAAGTCTGCCTGAGACAAAAAAAAAAAAAAAAAAAAAAAAAAAAAAAAAAAAAAAAAAAAAAAAAAAAAAAAAAAAAAAAAA